GGGGAACTATGAATAAATCCTTCCTGGGGAGACCAAGTATTTACATACGCAAGATCAATGCACTCTCCATCTAGGTTTCCCAGCCTAGAGAGATCCACAGGGTATGATTCACAAGAGACAAAGCTCAATCCAGGAATAAACTGGAGAGAAAACAGTCAAACAAGACTCCATCCAATGAGGAAACAACTCAAATGGGGATTTATCCTGTCCAGAGATGGAAAAGGAAAGCTAAAGCAAGATTCTTCCACGAGGGTTAACTTAGTGGGGAATTAGAAAAGAGGCGCACTTTCTTCTTAAGTTGACACTCTATTTGGAAAGATCAAATATGCTATTTGAATAGACATAACCAAGGTATACGAACTCAAAGATATCAACAAATACAAATGTGCGTGCATGATGCAAGTATGAACGAATGAATGAATGTCATGTATATGTTGACAAAACAGACAGGGGAGATAGACAGAAGATGATACGACGTCCCAGTACAACCCGACGCTCAGCTAATCTCAACAAAAGGGGAACATTACTGGAGATAAAACACAGGCCATCATTGGAGCAAGGTCCTTTTACAAGGCTTAAATATCTCTGGAGAGGAAGATATTTTCAGGTAGAAAACCCAAAGTCCAGTCTTCTATTGCAAACAATCCATTGAAAGGATAACAACACACCAAAGTTTCAGCTAGAAAGAAGTCTTGCTTAGCTAGAGTTATTGGGAACACCAGCATCTGATAATGTATGAAAAACATATCTTGACAAATCTGGATTGCCCCTGGGATTAATTTTGGGTGCCCCAAGTTTACTGCTGATAAGCTGCGTGATGCACGACAATTCTTGTGAATAACTTTACCTCTAAAATGCCCCGAGCTATATGGTTGATGAGGAGAAGTCGTCTCAAGAGGATTTTACAAAAGACCTGGCATTCACCGTGCTCTGGTGTCTTCAAACTCTTAGAGAGATTCATCAAATCTTTACGTGATTGCCCCAGATTGACTGTAGTCGGCACAACAAAGTCTTCGAATTTTTGCCCCAAACGAGCAAACAAGTTGGGAAAAGCATTAACTGGGAGAAGCAACATGTTCGTGTTTACGGTCTTTAGGTGACATGCCCATGGATATGATTTTTTCTTGACGTGATCCTCCAATTACTCAACATAGTTTCAGGCCTTAAAAGAATAAACTCATCACTTGTGCTTATGTGAGCCTCCATGATATCAAACAAATGTTTTGCAGTTAGAAAAAGTTTACAATGAGAATGAAAATTCTAATGCAACAGTTATGTAAGTCTTGAAGATTTTGAAAGATATCGCACAAATTTTGCGAGTTAAAGCACCATTTATTTTTGTATAGGAAAAACATATGATACCAACATAACTATTTAGAACATTCATGAGAGTCAGGAACACTATCTAATTGAAGTATGCTTTCAAAATAACCTTGCTTCAATTAGGACTTTTGAAGGTTGTAATGTGGTCTGGTTCATGGTTTTAGAAAAAAGGATTTAAGGCTCAAAATATTTGGTGCCCACCCATTCTTCATGATGTTCTCCAACCCTATGTTCAGTTAATTCAACATGAGTGTTCATCTCTCAAAAGGATTTTGTGACGGTCAAGGAAACGACGAGGCTTTTGAAGTATAAACCACCCTCATGTCTTCGTGTTTGTAGTCACCAATTTGTTCTTTGCTGAGGACTTTTCTTTGCAGTCCTTTTCTTTGCAATTTTATTTTCCCTAAATTTTGCCTGAACTAATTCTTTTGAATTGATAGTCCAGCGGGATTCCTTAATTTTGCCTAAGTCACACGTTTTCATGTTTTTTGACTTAGCAGGCTTTTTCTTTTTCTCGATTTTTGACTTTTTGAACAAAATGTGTGACATTAGCTTGTCTTTGCTTGTTGAGAGGATTGTGATTGCCTCGTTTCTTGATGAATGAGGGATAACATTCTGGTTCCACATCCTTTAGATTCATTATACATGAAGGATAGCCCTCGTAGTTTCTCTTCAAAAAACATCTTCCTTATGAATTTTGAACACTCAGTCAGATTAACTAAAAACTACCCTGCCCCAGGTTAAATTCAAGGTTTTTTCGTATAGAAAAGAAACTTCTGCTTCAAAGGCTCAAAAGTGGTTAGCAGGGGATTATCTTCCTTATATCTCCGGTGTTTAGGGATTTGAAACAATGCCTGTACATCATCAGCAAGATTTTATCCAATAGCATGCAACCAGAGATTTTGTGTTCTTTAGATCATCATCCTCCCTTCAATCTCCGCCTAGGCAAGAGAATGGGCAACAAGTTAGTATCATAATGCAAAAAGAAATTTAAAATTTGAAAACAAATATGAGTGAAAAAAATGAATTTCTTCAAGACAAACATACTCATTGTATTAAGATAATCATTCAGATGCAAACAAGTTCTTACATGCAAACAATGTTTTGATAAACAAGAAAAATTACAAAAAGCATGAATAAGTTAATAATCTAGGAAGGCTTTCCATCTGGACTTGAATTACCGAAAACATCATTCAAAACTCAAAGTGACCATCAATCATGTTTAATCTTTGGCACATGCTTGATTTGAACTTCAAAACCAACGTCCTTGAATGACAAGATACCACTTCTGACCAACTTCTGATCCTCGATCTTCAAAGCAAAGAAACCATCCAAGTCATGCCCAGGAGCACCTTGATGAAAGGTACATGTCAAATCAGCTTTGTAGTACCAATGTATCTTCTCAGGAACCTTCGGTGGAGGTCGGGTCTGAACCAAATTCCTCCGCATCAGGATAGGGAACAACTCTGTATAGGTGATTGGAATTGGATCAAATTGAGTTTTCCTCTGATTAGGAACTTGCTGATTCTGTTGATAAATGGGAGAAACATGATGATTCTGATGATGATTATTTCTTCCTCTGGTTCTCTTCTTGGAAAAGTCATTATCAAACTTCTTCACACCATTAGCTGAGCTACCATCTTCATATAAACATCCCTTTCATACATCTTCTTCTAGACGCACTCCAACATTCACCTTGTCAGGAAAGTCACTAGGCGCATTAACCATCACCTTCTCATGAGAGAATGATTTTAGAGTTTCAGTGAAGACTTTTATCATCGCTTCTTCCTTCCTAGAAGGATTGACTTGGGCGGCAACCAGAATTTCAACCAAACCAGTTAAGCACTCCACACTAGCTTTCAAATTAGTCATCTCTCTACGGAGTTCAGAAACCTCTTGCTTGATATTCTCCATTGTTCTCTTAGCGCGAGTGTTGTACTGGTGAGACCAAAGGAAAAATAAGACTCGGAAAAAGACCTTTGAAAGTGAAACAAAAAATGTAGAATGATGTATGATATGCAAAAGAGAGTTTTTATTTGATTTTCAAGGAACTCAAGATATTAAGTTGTAAACATCAAAGTATGAAGATAGAACCCAATGGTTATACAGTGGGAAGGTATTAGCACCCAATGCATCTACGGTACTCCGCAGGAACCTTTTGAAATATCTGTTTTTGGTTAAAATTGTTTGTTTGATTAAAACGGTTCGTTTGGCTAAAAATCGGTGCTGGAGAGATTTTGAAGATACGACGATCTAGTGTCGAAGTTTTGACTTAAAAGGTGTGAGTTTGAAAATGGAGTCTTTTGGGAAAATTATCTTGAGTTTAGCAAAGTAGTAAACAAACAAAAAAAATAAAAAAAAGGGTATTCGCACGATCGGATAAGATGTATTTGATGACGTGAAGTCAACAAATTTAAATCTTTCCCTTGGATTTAAAACCACAGACGGATAAATAAGCTAAGAGTATATCAAACCTTAGGTGAAAATAAATCACAAGCCGACAGCATCATCAAAAAACCTAATGTGAGATAATACTCCAAGCATCAGATAAAGCGCAAAGGCGGTGGATAAAGCTCACGGTGTCAGATAAGAATCCCTGCATCACAAGAGATATACCGACAAAATCTAACAGCACGGGAAACTTATGTGCGTCCGCACAACTTTCAGAAGTTAGTTGGAATTAAAAATAAAATCACAATGCAATGAAAATAATATCTACATAGACGGAATTTATTTACCAATGAAATGAGTAAAATATACATTAAAAAATATTATGTACCAGTATATATTTACAGTACCAAATATTAAATCAAAATAGTAAGGTAAAAAGGGAATAAAGAAAAAGTATAAATGCGCTATGCGAGAACAAACGCTTGAAACAGTTCTCGGAAACCTTCACAGTAAGCAAACTTGTTAGTAGCATAAGAGATATAAAAATGAAATTGCAACAATTAAAACATGTGTTAGTAGTCACGAAGTATAAAAATAAAATCAAATGAAATTGCAACAAATAGAACATGTGTTGGTAATAACAAAGTATAAATCGAAATGAAATTGCATGAATGCATATGAATAATTCAAAAACCAAACAATCAATTATTCAAGTATTTCAATTCACAAATGAACTAAAACCAAATAAACTCATGCTATTATTCAATCCAATATTCAAAACATGGAAAGTTGAGCTCAAAGCGAACTAAAGTCAATCTAACCGAATCCGGGAAGCAACAAAAATTCATCACAATTAACTAACCATTAGCATAAACATGCTATTGTTTAACCAATAACACTAACAGCTCAGCTCATATATCTAGCACAAATTAATAACAAATAGGAATAACAATGTCATCACATCCATTTTTACACAATTGTTTCAAAACTCTACCATTTAAAAGAAAAGAAAGACATCACCACTTCACTTTTCTTTTCTAATATTATCAATTCATTTGAACATCTCAAAAACCGATTCAAAAATCAAACACAACCAATCAAAATCATCATCAATTAGTGAAACAAGTATAAACCCCATTTATCTTCAACAGAGTTTCAACATTAAATCCAATCATGTTAACAACAACACACCATATTAATTTCAATTCAACAATATTAATTAGAAAGAATAAAAGGAAAGTGAGTTTACCAAAAGGAAATGAGGTGTTGTTGTTGTTTGAACAATAATGAAGAGAGTGCTACTGCATGAAGAAATGCTCAACAACGGAGGAAGGCTTCAGCCGGAAGACGCGAGGCAAACATCAGAGTCAGGAAGCTGCGATATCAGCCGCGGAAGTAGTGTTGGACGGTGTCGAAATTTGTTGAAGTCAGAAGTTGAGCGGATTGTTATTGATGCGGACTGGAGAAGAATTGACGTTGGGAGTTTGTGTAGCATAACACTCGCGTGCGTAAGCCGCTACTTTTGGCGGAAGGATGAAAGTTTTACGGGTTCTATAGATGAATTAATGATGAAGCTGGAGGAAGTAGACGGAAGGTGGGTGAGTTCGACGAAGGTTCATGGATGGTAGTTTGATGGAGGTAAGCTCACGGAGAGGGTGGGTCGTGGAAGCTGTTTGGAGGGAGGTGACGGTAATTGAATGGTGAAGATGAAGGGGTTATGGATCGATGAAGGTTGGGTGTCAATGGGTGTACAAAGGGAGAGAAACAATGAGTATTAAGGGTGGAGGTAGAGGGAGTAACGCTAACGGAAGGAGGTTGCAGAAGGTGGTAAGGAGTTACTGGTGGTGGTTTAATGTTGGAGATGTTAGTGAGGATGCTGTTTGATAGAGTAAAGGAGAGGTTTACATTCGCCGGAGGTTGCCGGCGGCGGGGAATTGACAGTGAGTTGGAGTGAGCTAGGAAGCATTTGGCGTAGACATGTAGAAGGAGGACGAAGAGGATTATGAGAAGGAGAGAAATAATGGCTGCAAGCATGATGATGTTATTGTTATTGGTTTCGTGGGAGATCATGTTCTCAGCGAGTTGACTCACTGAGTCCTGCTGGCTCGACATTCGTAAGGGAAACTGGGTGGTGGAAAAATGGGTGAAATGGGGTTTGGATTGTTTTGGAGGAAAGGTTTGAAGTTGAAGTGAATTGTTATGGTTTTGTTAGAGGAGAATCCTTGTATTCAAGTTGGACAAGTGGTGGGAAAATGGAGGCTAATGCATGTGAGAATGAGGTGAGGGATGGAGGAACGTTGTGGAATGGATAGGAATGTGTGTGTTTTTGAGTTTTACAAAGAAAGAGCAAGTAGTATTATATAGACAAGTGAAAATAGAAAAAGATGATTTCAGTTTCAATCGTTCAATCGTATCCGTCCAAAATTATTTCAATTTTATCAATCCATAACTTATGCTATTAACCAATAGAAATAGAGCAAGGTGTAAATAATATATTTTGTGATCAAATAGTCCTTAAATGATAAAAATAACCAAAAAACTAAATGTATTAAAATTAACTCAATTTAAAATGATTTTTTTTAATATTTTATGAATAAAAAATAAAGACCCAAAATGACCGGAAATGATAAAAAACGGACGAAAATTTATCCGAAAAAATAAAATGAACACATTAAAATAATCTACATGTCACAAAGATTAATGAAAAAAAAATTCAAGAAGCCAAAAATCAAAAATAAAATAATAATAAAAATATCAGACTAAACGGACGTTTACGGTTAAATACGAGGCTTCAAACTGTACCGAGAAAGTAAAGCGAGCATAACGTCATAATCTACGCGAGACGCAGATTCATAGAATGATCGGTAAAAAGTGAAAACTTGAAATATTTTTTCTCGCTAATTTTCGTATAGTGTCGAGTCGCATTTAACAGTTTGTCTATAAAACCAAAATATTTTTATTATCGACATATAAACAACTTGGAGCAATGCAAGAAACGAGTTAAGAGATAAAAATGCATGAAGTGAAATGTCAAGTATTTTTTAACTAAAAGACGATGCAAACTTTGATTTAAACTGACTTTCTGGTCAACTTAAATACGACTAATGATGCAAAATGTGATGAATGAAGATATTTACTAATGATTGTGACTAAATAACAAAATATGATATGAAAGTGCGACTAAAACATATTAGGGGCGAACTTTAGGGTGCAACAGTTGTGCCTTGATGAATCAGTCTTTGAGAATACAGTATGTTGTAGATATTTTTGTTACTCCAATGGATTGTAGCATTGTCATTATGGAAGGTAGTCTCTTGTCGATATCTTTGTTACTCCAATGGATGGTAGCCTTGTCATTACGGAAGGTAGTCTATTGTCGAGATTTTTTTTACTCCAATGGATGGTAGCCTTGTCATTATGGAAGGTAGTCTGTCGTTGTGATTTCTGATACTGCAATGGATGGTAGCCTTGTCATTATGGCAGATAGTATGTTGTAGATATTTTTGTTACTCCAATGGATTGTAGCATTGTCATTATGGAAGGTAGTCTCTTGTCGATATCTTTGTTACTCCAATGGATGGTAGCCTTGTCATTAAAGAAGGTAGTCTATTGTCGAGATTTTTTTTACTCCAATGGATGGTAGCCTTGTCATTATGGAAGGTAGTCTGTCGTTGTGATTTCTGATACTCCAATGGATGGTAGCCTTGTCATTATAGAAGGTAGTCTGTTGTCGAGATTTTTGTTACTACAATGGATGGTAGCCTTGTCATTATGGAAGGTAGTTTGTTGTCGAGATTTTTATTACTACAATGGATGGTAGCCTTTTCATTATGGAACTTAGTCTGCTGTCGATATTTTTGTTACACTAATGGATGTTATCCTTGTTATTATGGAAGGTAGTCTATGGTCGAGATTTTTGTTACTCCAATGGATGTTAGCCTTTTCGTTATGGAAGGTAGTCTGTTGTCGAGGTTTTTTTTACTCCAACAAGATGGTAGCCTTGTCATTATGGAAGGTAGTCTATCATTGTGATTTCTGATACTACAATGGATGGTAGCCTTGTGATTATGGAAGATAGTATGTTGTAGATATTTTTGTTACTCCAATGGATTGTAGCATTGTCATTATGGAAGGTAGTCTCTTGTCGATATCTTTGTTACTCCAATGGATGGTAGCCTCGTCATTACATAAGGTAGTCTATTGTCAATATTATTGTTACTTTAATGTATGGTAGCCTTGTCATTATGGAAGGTAGTCTGTCGTTGTGATTTTTGATACTCCAATGGATTGTAGCCTTGTGATTATGGAAGATAGTATGTTCTCGAAATTTTTTTTACTCTAATGGATTGTAGCCTTGTCATTATGGAAGGTAGTCTGTTGTCGATATCTTTGTTACTCCAATGGAGGGTAGCCTTGTCATTACGGAAGGTATCCTGTTGTCGAGATTTTTGTTACTCCAATGGATTATAGCCTTGTCATTATGGAAGGTAGTCTGTCGTCGAGATTTTTGTTACTACAATGGATGGTAGCCTTGTCATTATGGAAGATAGTATGTTGTCGATATTTTTGTTACTCCAATGGATTGTAGCCTTGTCATTATGGAAGGTAGTCTGTTGTCGATATCTTTGTTACTCCAATGGAGGGTAGCCGTGTCATTACGGAAGGTATCCTGTTGTCGAGATTTTTGTTAGTCCAATGGATTGTAGCCTTGTCATTATGGAAGGTAGTCTGTCGTCGAGATTTTTGTTACTATAATGGATGGTAGCCTTGTCATTATGGAAGGTAGTCTGTTGTCGAGATTTTTGTTACTATAATGGATGGTAGCCTTGTCATTATAGAAGGTAGTCTATTGTCGAGATTTTTGTTACTACAATGGATGGTAGCCTTGTCATTATGGAACTTAGTCTGCTGCCGAGATTTTTGTTACACTAATGGATGTTATCCTTGTCATTATGGAAGGTAGTCTATTGTCGAGATTTGTATTACTCCAATGGATATTAGCCTTTTCGTTATGTAAGGTAGTCTGTTGTCGAGGGTTTTTTACTCCAATGGATGGTAGCCTTGTCATTATGGAAGGTAGTCTGTCGTTGTGACTTCTGATACTGCAATGGATGGTAGCCTTGTCATTATGGAAGATAGTATGTTGTAGATATTTTTGTTACTCCAATGGATTGTAGCATTGTCATTATGGAAGGTAGTCTCTTGTCGATTTCTTTGTTACTCAAATGGATGGTAGCCTTGTCATTAAAGAAGGTATTCTATTGTCGAGATTTTTTTTACTCCAATGGATGGTAGCCTTGTCATTATGGAAGGTAGTCTGTCGTTGTGATTTCTGATACTCCAATGGATGGTAGCCTTGTAAATATAGAAGATAGTATGTTGTAGATATATTTGTTACTCCAATGGATTATAGCCATGTCACTATGGAAGGTAGTCGCTTGTCGATATCTTTGTTACTCCAATGAAGGGTAGCCTTGTCATTACGGAAGGTAGCCTGTTATCGAGATTTTTGTTACTCCAATGGATTGTAGCCTTGTCATTATGGAAGGTAGTCTGTCGTTGACATTTTTGTTACTACAATGGATAGTAGCCTTGTCATTATGGAAGGTAGTCTGTTGTCGAGATTTTTGTTACTACAATGGATGGTAGCCTTGTCATTATGGAAGGTAGTCTGTTGTCGAGATTTTTGTTACTAAAATGGATGGTAGCTTTGTCATTATGGAAGGTAGTCTGCTGTCGAGATTTTTGTTACACTAATGGATGTTATCCTTGTCATTATGGAAGGTAGTCTATCGTCGAGATTTTTGTCACTCCAATGGATGTTAGCCTTTTCGTTATGTAAGGTAGTCTGTTGTCGAGGTTTTTTTTTTCTCCAATGGATGGTAGCCTTGTCATTATGGAAGGTAGTCTGTCGTTGTGATTTCTGATACTACAATGGATGGTAGCCTTGTCATTATTGAAGATAGTATGTTGTAGATATTTTTGTTACTCCAATGGATTGTAGCATTTTCATTATGAAAGGTAGTCTCTTGTCGATAATTTATTTACTCCAATGGATGGTAGCCTCGTCATTACATAAGGTAGTCTATTGTCGAGATTTTTTTTACTCCAATGGATGGTAGCCTTGTCATTATGGAAGGTAGTTTGTCGTTGTGATTTTTGATACTCCAATGGATTGTAGCCTTGTGATTATGGAAGATAGTATGTTCTCGAAATTTTTTTTACTCTAATGGATTGTAGCCTTGTCATTATGGAAGGAAGTCTGTTGTCGATATCTTTGTTACTCCAATGGAGGGTAGCCTTGTCATTACGGAAGTTAGCCTGTTGTCGAGATTTTTGTTACTCCAATGGATTGTAGCCTTGTCATTATGGAAGGTAGTCTATCGTCAAGAGTTTTGTTACTACAATGGATGGTAGCCTTGTCATTATGGAAGATAGTATGTTGTCGATATTTTTGTTACTCCAATGGATTGTAGCCTTGTCATTATGGAAGGTAGTCTGTTGTCGATATCTTTGTTACTCCAATGGAGGGTATCCTTATCATTACGGAAGGTAGCCTGTTGTCGAGATTTTTGTTACTCCAATGGATTGTAGCCTTGTCATTATGGAAGGTAGTCTATCGTCGAGA